TTAGGGTGGCTTCGGAGGGATTGGGGGTTCTTGCACTCATTTCCTGCATGTTCCTCGCTTACATTCAATTATAATGAAGATATTATCTCTAGAACCGCTGTTGATTATACGCATACATTTTGCGAAAATATTATTTTTCTACAAACAGTAACATGGTATCTGCATCTTGCCAAATAATAATATTATTTACCTGTAAATTGTAGAGTTGCACTTGTACAAAGTGTTCTCCAAGATTCCATTTTTGTTTCATAACTTTGTTTTTCGAGCACATTTTTATTTCTTTTCCCAACTTTCATAGACCTTTTTCTGTCATGTTATAGTGTTCTCTCTCTTTTATTTCTTTCGAAAGCAGTATGTCTCTCCGTCTCTCTCTCCCTCTCTGTAAGCTTCATCTTTTTGCACCTTTGTTTGTATTGTGTTTATTTTGTCTTTGAATTTCTCGTCACCTGCAGTATCGTACTCTTTTCCATTCCTCTGCTTTCCATAACATCTTTATGAAAATCTTTTTTCTTGCCCCCTTTTCCTCATGATCGCCACCACGTCTGTGACATTTGCTCACAGAACTCTGGGGACCGTAATCCTTTACTTTATCACGTTTATCTTCTCTCTCTCTCTCTCTCTTCTTATCTTCTCCCCTCACCTCTAATACATGGATCTTCTCCTTTTCCCATTTCTCACTTCTTGTGTCTTGTCTTTAAGTCTCATCTACTATGTTTGCCCCCATTCGCTCTTCCTTCTCTATTTGCTCCCCTCTCTCTCTTTCTATCTATCTCCCCCTCTCTCTCTCCCTCTCTCTCTCTCTTATATTCTCTCTTTCTATTCTATTTTCTTTGACATTTGCTCATATAACTCTAGGGATCACAAGCTCCACGTAAACACCAAACGAACAGAGACGTGAAATTGAAAAGACGTGCTATGGTTCTTGTATCCTAATACTTTTCTCTGGAAATCCAAAGTGGTGTGCTTTGGATTAGTAGTTGCGAATTTCGGGGAGTATGGGGCAACTGACTAGTGACCCCCCTTTGTTGAAAAACAGCAGACAGGAGAATACTATCACTTTGTAGGGGCCTGGAGCATCTCCTGAGACGGATATGTGTATGATATGACAGTTACTATTATAACGTTTTTTCTTTATTATGCACACATCACACAAAATGTGCCCCATTTGCATGAGAAGTGCGTATTTTTCGGAGTCGTGCCCCTATCCCCCCATTTTACACAATCCCGGATCCGCCCCTAGCTATAGGAGCTTATTGGAGTAGCCTATACGACTTGTGGAAATCATGTATCCATCCCAGGTGAAATGGTTATGGTTTTGATGTCACTATAATGCCCTGAGGAGCCGATACTGTTGCATTGGGCTGTAACATGTTTAATCACGTGATGCGTTTCAAACAACGATTTCAGAGTTGAAGATTTAATAAACTGTTACTCAGAGATAACGTTGAGTATTGGTCGGCCATAAGCACTATGGGAAACGATCTGTCTCGAAACAATTAGAGAATGTTCATTGTGTAACACGCAAGATTTGGCAATTATACTGTGATTTTTTTAAAATATTTAAACTATCAAAATAATAAGAAACTCACTCAGTCTGGCTGAAAGTCACATGCACGTACTGCACACACAAATAGGGGAGTAAAGGGGGGGGGGGGAGGGGTTAAGACACATTATTTTCAGGATATTCATTTTCTATTAAGATATTTTACCACATTGACGTTAAAAGAATTGGGAAGGTCAGAGCATTATTTATCATCTTTACCAGAACCCGATCTCCTCTTTGACATGTCATCCTGGACCTTGATTTTGACAGACATCTGTCTGAGATGTTTTCAGTAGATTATTTCGTTAAGGCCCGGTCACACAGAGGGGACGCATGGGGGACGCACGGCCGGCGCATGGAAAATTTGCAATTTTGGCCAGTGCGTTGTCGTGCGCCCAACTTTTGTCGAAGCTATACAGCTAGCTGACACCAAATGCATAGCGCGCTGGACGCATACAGGGCGTATACAGGGCGCACACAGGGCGCACACAGGGCGCACACAGGGCGCACACAGAGCGCACATGAAAACAACTTCCACAAATGCACAGCGTGTTGCTAGCGCGCTGGACGAATGGTCCACGCATGCACCGCGTTCTACGACGCACGGCCAGCGCATTGGAAATCGGAAAAGAACGTGTGCCTAACTTTTGTCATAATTTTGGAAAAGCTAGCGAGCTGACACAAAATGCACGGCGTGTAGCTAGCGCGCTGTGCGTATACAGGGCGTGTGCTCCGCGTTTGTCTGGCGCTGGTCTAGCGCGCTCCACGCATGTCTGGCGCTGGTCTAGCGCGCTCCGGCGCATGTCTGGCGTGCCTTTGGCGTGTATATTCATGCGTCGAGCTCGGCGCACGTTTTTGAGCATGCTCAAAAAATCCCGACGCACACGGCGAATGACGACGCATGCATAGCGCTGGTCCAGCGTTGGTCCAGCGCGCTCGACGAACGAATAACGAATGATGACGCACGCCTAGCGAACGACAACGCACTGGCCCAAATTGCAAATTTCCAATGCGCTGGCCGTGCGTTCCCCATGCGTCCTCCCAGTGTGACCGGGCCTTAAGATGCACCAACTCAATCCAACCAAGAAGTTACTAGTAACTTCTTGTTCCAACTATCCTCTCTATCCCCTTTCTGCTCTATTTATCATAATTTTGTGTGTCACCTTCAGTAGCGTAGATGAAGGGGGCACGTGCTGCTTTCGAATGACGAAGGATATAGAGAAAATAAGGAAAAGGAGAAATGGGGGGGGGGGGGGGTGGAATAATGAGAAAAGAAACCCTCTTCAATGCACCTCTTCAAAGGCGTTATAATTTAGCAGCATTCCGAGTAAGACCGATCCGCCCCCTCCCTTTATGCCAGTGTCCTCTCAAAGGACGGGCTCGCTGCCATGTCACTGCCTTCAAGAAAGTTACCGAGGGTAGTCTCATCAGTATTAAAGACGCATAGTAGTGGGCTCTCGTGGGAAATTTGACACCATTCGGGTGTTTACCCGATTAGAGATGTTGTCAATCACCAGGATTAGCCTTCAGTTCTATGACCAGCAGGCCCTTTATGTAATGCTCTGCATTTACCCCCAATCGCCCCTGATTGAAAATTAATTATCTTACATTTCCTCGCCCGAAGACTCTTTGAGAGACAATAGGGACTTTTAGATTTGCGTGGACTGTTACATGTGACGTCCACTCAAGGCAGTGCATTAAAAGGACGTTGACCGTAGCAATCCCTATTGTCTTCGTGCGAATCTAAAAGTCCCTAATATTTCTCAATAGGACGACGGGTTTACTCTGTATAGGTTCATGCTCTGATTGTACAAGATTGTACACCCAATAATAGGGACTTTTAGATTCGCACGAAGACAATAGGTCTATGCTACGATCGACGTCCTAATAATGCACTGCCTTGAATGGACGTCACACGTATTAGTCCACGCAAATCTAAAAGTCCCTATTGGTATTTCCACCGAGACTGGTGTCAGTGAACTATGACCTACTGGCATAGAAAGTCACGACCGTCTCCATTTAATACATTTCAGAGACAGAGGGCCCTTTAAACATTATCACCCCGGCTTATTATCGACCAATGAATATCATTTCTTTCTGCTGGCTACTCTTTTACTCCGGCTGGATGGTGAGTGGCAAAATAATGTAGGCTCAGACCCGGGAGATCGAACCCTGTCTCCTGTGCTTTGAATTCCGGTGACTTATCCACTAGACCAAGACGCCCGATGCCTACGACACTTACCCTTATTGCGGTCTTTAATTACATGTAAGTAGTCATCAAGCTTTTTAATTGTCTTTTATGTAATTCCTCAAAACACGCGTGTACCCAAAACTCTTTGTATTACACAATAACTTTATTTTAGCCAGGCACTTCTCGAACATTCATGCCGCAAGCCTTCTAATTCACCTGTTCGATAAAACCATGGATAATGCGTGGACTCGATGCCAATTATCTTCGTCGGCGGCTTTCATTTGATCTTTCCTCAACGAGATTTGTTTACCTGGGTTCTTAAAAGTTCCGAGTACAATGTATCAACAGTTAATACCATGAGCAAACTCACATGTCTGTCTATATTAGCCCAAAGTTTAATAGCAGCATATTTCCTTTCAGGCATAGTCAATTAAAAAAAGATAATAACCTCCTTGAAGTATTCCATATTGAGTAGAGCGAATGGCAAATAAATCTCTATGTGTATTGGAGCACCTTCCAAAATATATTTTGTGTGAGATTTATAGAGTGGAGTGACAAACACGTTTATACAAATGGCTTAGACGCAAAGTCAGGGACAGTGACATTTATACAAAAAAACAATTAAATCGATTTTACGTCAACTAGCAGAGCCACCAGGGGCCTCGATTTTTGAATGCGGGCACATTTATTGTATTTGTTTTTAACCGTGAATAAATAAATATACCATACCATACAACCGAGCCAGTTGTCCCCCTTTTAAGAATACATGTACCATACACTGTGCCCACTCTTTTGCAAATTCTTGGTCACGCCCTTGCGTATGTCCATACTAGTTTTATCATGATTTGATTACCCATGTCCGACCATTTTCTCTTCAATAAGGGGAGTGTTTTGTCATTGTTTAGAAACTTTCAGAACAAGACGATACATTCGACATTGTTTGGAAATCGTACTCACATTCGCTGTAAACAAGTATGTATAAACAATAACATTATGCTAAACATGCTAATACCTGTACAAACGCGACATGACGTATCACATCGTATACCGCAACGTTTAGTTGGGGTAGTACACCGGAAAAGAAACAATGGTACGGACTCGCCCATAATAAAAAAATAAAATAAAATAGAATTAACAAAATAAGTAAAACATAATTATAAGGGTTAACGCCGGAGATGGAGGTAATTTGATACGGATACACTGGCAAATGGGAATCCTACGGGTAGGCTCAAATGTCAAACGTGACACCTCTTTGCACTGTGGGTAAACTAATTCAAAAAAGTAGTAACACAGCCATGTAGAAACACCAGAGTCAATAAAGAGTTTTCGGATTACGCCATCAGTACAATGTTAACACACCCCTTTCTTGTTTGCGTGTCTCGAGTAGCCTGGTAATTGTAGATTCTTGACTATTATGATCATTTACGGCATACATAAAAGAGACTTTAGCATGGTCCATTTAAGATCGAGACTTCCCTGTTTGGATCTTAACAGACAGAGGAGTGCCTCGTTTTCTACGATCGACTAGTTTTTATTGTCTCTTATGAAGGGCCGTTGTCGGCTTGGTACGATATTTGTTGGTCCTAGCCATCATGATCTATTCCTAACGATATGTTATTAGGACGGCGACGCTGGATACATAACGCATTTTCCTATGGTTCGTGGCTGTGCTGTGTCCTACACATATCGTGATAAGGTGAGTTTTGCCATCCTAAGTATTGCATGAAGAAGGTCACAGAATATCTTAAAGCATTGTCGAACAATTTGTCTAGTTTTAAAATCTGAGATGCATGACCCTACGTGTTTTCAGTGTCTGTGATATGGTGTAATATTAAAGCTCTACAAAAATTGCTTCAAAATGATCATGAAGTGCTTCAAAAAAGTAAAAATCTTTGAGTACGTGACCGGTTTTACCGTACTCATTTTACCCAATGGACTGTCGTGTTATAAAAAACTGTTCAAAACAGTGTGAAAAACGGTTTATGAAATTTCGAATTCCAACCCTAAATATCTTGATAATCAAACATGCGATTGGCTTGTAAAAGTCATGAAATTCATTTAAGATCTTAAGGTTTAAAATTATGATTGTAGCATGAGCTAAATGGATTTTGTATAGAATCAGAGGCAAAGTTACCTAAAACCTTTAATTTTGTTAACATTGGTACCTGTAGCGTACATTCGGAAAGTAAAGGTAAACATCTGCTTCTCTTCGCAGGATAGATCTGGAGGGAAAAGAGATTCCACAGTGTTGTCGCGTGAGAAAGAGGTTTTATGTTCCTTATTATGACGTATACGACAGTGGTGTTTACATATGGTTGTACATTTATGTATGCACAGCATCTTAGTATATCATGTACATATTTGTGTTTCTGGCGTTGGAAAGTATGAGAGATATAGGGGAATGAAAAATGAGTTCAGGAATGAATTTATTTGTGTCTTGAAGACCTGGGTTCTTTAAACATTTATTTACTTACATTATTTTAAGATAGGGGGTTGTAAGTTCCGCATGTTTACGATTTTCGATTTTGAGATAGGGCCCTGAATTTTAGCGTTTCAATTCTCTTCAAACTTAATCTACATTATTAATTATAATCACATTATAATAATTCTGCAAATGACAAACAAGTGTTTATTTATTACGTACAACTATAAACTATTGATCAGTTACAATTTAGTAATTCACGTAGTGCACTGATGACTGCCGTTTGGCGTTTTTCAGCAGTGGTTTCCAATTTAACCCATTCAATCTTGAAGTGAATCCGTTCCGTTGTAAAGAAATATAATATTTTTGCGTTCGATGTATTATTATTGAAGTGACATGTCACCCGTGCCTGATTCGTTTGAAATGATGCACCGTGTCGCGGTGCGTGTATAACCTGCGGCAACCTTCCCCCTTCTTTTCGAAAGAAAATTATGTCACCATGCTATGCGAGTAAACATGACTACGAAGGCCTATTTCTTTCTTTCTTTCTGTTCCTCAAATTAAATTCCCCCATTATCTCGAGGCTATACAAGCATATTGTATGCATCAGTAGGTAACCTGTATCATGAAAGTTATGTTGGAGTGGTTTTTGTTTTGTTAGGTTATGCACTTCGTCTTATTTTTTTCTTCAGAAACCATGGTCAAATGTACGTATAATGTATTGATGCATGATTGTGATGTATCTCTGCGCGTTTCTCATGACGCCTTCTTTTAGTGTCACGTGAACAGATTACTGCATGCACATGGCGTGCTGCGTGGATGAAATGAGAAATGGCGCCATACTTTGGGTAATAACAAAAAAAAGTTTTCGTTATAAAACGTCTAGTTTTTTCCCCTCGCTTTGTCATGTCAAAATTGTAAATCACTACTCGTCGTACTGTAAGGATCAATGATTAATCCACATTTTGAGACATCGTGCTATCCCTGCAGTTGGTTGTAAATTTCGAATTCGGAAGCCACCGAATCTTGCTGAATATCACAAACGATTAATAACGCTTCACATAGATATGTTGCATCATATATAAGGTTAGTGCAAAGCCGTATGTGAAATATGAAAGCATTTCAGGACCAATCCATTTCAATCACTTGAAATCGTAAATGAGGAGAAAGCACAAATGATATTTTTTCGCCTTTCTCGGGATTCAACACAAGATACTCTTGAATGTCGGAGTAATGCAGTTAGGTGCATATCGATTCCAGGCTATAAAGACATCCAAGATGTTTGTATTATGATCAAGTCGCATATCATGAAAGCCATCAATATACAGAAAATAATAATAACAATAATAATTATTACATTTATAGGGCGCTTTATACAGGCGTTTCTAAGCGCACATAAGGTTCTGTCAATTATTCAACATGTTCAATACCTTAAAAGCAACAAAATAAAATAAATATTACTAATACAAATTATGCAATACAATTGAGTTGAATCGAATTAACTACTTGTGTGCGCCTCCTGTATAATACAACTGGTTAAAAAGGTGGGTTTTGAGAAGGGTTTTGAATGATTCAATAGATGGGGCATTTTGAATATGGGGTGGGAGTTTCTTTCAGAGGGCGGGGGCAATCGGGTTTTTGTTCGTGGGCCGATAATTAATTGCATGGAGGAAGATGAACGGAGGGATCGTTCAGAAGAGGAGGATCGAAGGGAGACTAGATCAAGAAGATATTTAGGGGCAAGGTTATGTTATTTTTGTGTTGTGTGTTATTTTTTATGAAAGAAGTAGGATTTTGATAGTAATGCGAAAATGGACCGGTAGCCAATGAGGGAGCGAAGTACAGGGGGGGGGGGGGGGTGTTTCATGAAGCTGTTCGTACAGTTACGCATGACTTTACGAACGACTTGTATATGAAGTGCCAGATAGGATGCCCAAAGTTTTTTCTGATATTTTCAATGACCTCAATTGAATTATGGCAAAAAAAATACTTTGCAATAAAAACGTTTGTTAGCATAAGAATGTTAATCTACATCTGCGCAGTTCAATTTTATTTGATGTATTTGATAATGATTGAGCATCCCATTTGGCTTTTCATATACAAGTCGTTCGTAAAGTCATGCGTAACTTTAAGAACACTTAATGAAACACCCCAAGGTCATATATTATGGTCATATTTCCTACTTAATGTGATCAATCTAGCTGCTGAATTTTGGATTCGCTGGAGAGGAGATATATGAGAAATAATGTTTTCTCATTTGCATTTCTTTTGGGAGTTCGTTTGAGTATATCTTATTTAGTCGATTAATTATTCTCCTATCCAACAGATACGTCTTTATTGTGCAAATTATTCTCGATCACGATTGTTTTTTCTTCGATTAATTATTTGTAGCTTGTGTCTGATTTTAATGACAGTATGCAACCTTAAATATCTCAAACCGTGTACCAACAAAAGTGCGACTATTTGTTTTAGTTTAACTCCTAGATTAACTTTGGGGCACAACTCCTTCACATGTGCTGCTCTCGTGTTAGGGGGAGTATTTTTTTTTTAGAAAGATAAGATTAGATACTCTTTTTAATAGATAAACATTTAGATAAACATTTTAATACTCACTATGTTAAACTACGATGTAAAATGAGCTCTGAACCTCTAGCCTGCCTTCGAAGCGTAATGAATTATGTTTTACTGTCAAATATTTTGCAGTAGGTAAACTATTCTCTTGAGAGATAGGAAGAGCAATCGATTAGTTTGATCACTTCAGACTCGGTACAATTCAATTGCATTGCGGTCATGAATATACTTTTATTTACTTTTATTGAGAAAGTGAAAACAACCCCGACGGGCTGTGAGAATGCAAAAACATTGTGTTCATTTCTTTACCATGGGGGAGGGGGAGGGGTGTGTGCCTGCAGAATGTTTGGAACCATACTCAAGGCACCTTCCCTCCCCTTCCTCCCCTTCTCAAGGAATCCTCGACCCACCTTAGTAAAAAGAAGAACGTTTAGTTTTGGTAGCCAATCGTCTTCAATCGTAATGAAATTACCACATTTTGTCATTCGTCTTCATATACCTACGTGCACGTCTGGGGACATACGATACATTAATAGGTTGACCTAGGTTAAAGAAACACTGACTTTGTTCTCCCGCCCTAATAATTGGGTTAGTCTCCTGGGAAAGGTTAGATAAATGCTTTGACTTCCACGGGGAAGCGTCACGGTGTTTTTACTAGAAGTGGCTGCATTGCCAATTAAGGTCGCGAACTGGTCATGTGATTAAACAATAAAAGAAACTGTCCAGAAATTATAGGGGAAGGATGGTTACGCAGTAAGGTTAGTTGTGTTGATGTCATCAAGTAGATAAAACTATTGGCTCAGTCTTGCCCAGAATCATAATGTACCTACAATGAAAAGCACTGCGAATGGTATTTGGGGAATATAATAATTGTGCTATTTTGTTTTCCATGAAACATTCTCATACTTTGGTATTGGAATTTCTAAAGTTAGCCTATTTATTTAAGGTACAGTTTATGTTATCTCCGGTCGTGTTTCGAATATGAGAGCCTTTGTATTGCAGATCCTCACAGAACGTTTCAACTACGACATTACTCCACATCAAAATGACATGCAGAAAAAGCTCACTTTTGGAACTGAGCTGTTCAAATACGACGGACTGCCGACTAACTAAATCAACTGCATCGGCTTTAAGGCAAACTCAGATATTGATATCGGTTGGCCAGACGGTTTTATTTACAAATTCTTTAGTTACTGATCTATCCTTCCGATTTAGCCTTCTATGGGTTCTACCTTTCACTCCATCCGTTCCTCCATCTATTCATCAATGTTACTATCATCGTTTTCATTCTAGCTATAGAACGCTCAGACCACAGACAGACATACGACAGGCGACATATGTATTTCGCGGGAACATCTTAATATTTGAGAAATAAATTCACCAGCTGAGCGCGCGTGATTGGACAAAATGTTTCTCCAATTTACGAACATAGTTGGCTAAACAGCTTTAGGCACGTTCGCACACTTAACATTCATGTTCTGGTCTATAATAGGTGTTTATTAAATTAAAATGTTTCAGCCCCTCGGATTGGAGAAGTCAGGAACTTATTTTTGGAAAACCCACCCACCCTGAACCCCTCGAAAAGCGAAAGGGCATGACCAAAGGTAAATACGAGGAATGAATAAAATGGTGATCATAAATAATTTGGGAGAGCATTGTCTAATAGTCATAGCGCGGGGAACTAGCTTACATGATTTATAGGTTTAGTATCCAAAGCAAATCCGTTTAATAATTTTGTTGTAGTTGACAATTGTCATGACAAAATATGCAAACATGTATGAAAACCCTGATAGATACTGAGCAGACATAAAGACGGCACATCAGATGATAAAGCTCACGCAAGTTTGGAACATTGATTCATTGGTATTTGGTGATTTTAAAGGCATTGCATGTTAACATTTCTCCAAAATTATCTTTTTTTGATGATCGAATAATTTTAAATTGTGATTTACTGCGATTCATACTTCAAAAACTAGATACAATGTATAGCTTGAAAGATTTAATGCATTGAAAATTTACTGAATGATGTTTAACATCTGGCCCTGACAGATACCAGTGTTCATACCAGCTCTTATTGAACTGGGTTTCACTATGAGATTTTATTTTATTAACATGCCATTGTTTTGTGTGTACGCAGACATGGCAGATGAATCAGGATCAGTAAAAAACCGCATGGACACATCCTTTGCTTAGTAACCCCTCAAGTCATAATTCAGATTGTCGAAATCTTTGTAAATGTCAATATTCATGGAATACCAGGAACACATGACAGGGGGGATTAGCTAACGATGGTTAGAGGAATAGTCATCATCTTATAAAAGTATGGTGTATGGTAGTAAAGGTAAAAGAGCCTACGTCAGGTGGATCTCAGGCTAGATATATCATGACAATCATGAATACCATATCGTCGCATGTCTCAAAATATTCCCCCATCTTCTTCTTGAATGTTGATAATTTCCCAGGGTTTGAGCTGAGAGGATTTGTTTTATCCTACTTAACAAACCTCTGCTGAATATCTCCGCATAATCCAACACCCTTGTCATTTCTATGCATGCTGATATGCTTCAGAGTTTCTACCTTTAATGAATGTTTAATTCGGATGTCTATTTTTCGTCTTCCATTAACGTCATCGAGTTTGTCAAAGCCTAAACGTGAAGGGGCGAATTAACATCGGAGATTTAAACCCCACCGCTCCCTTTCCTAGCTCTCCTATTTATCATGACATAATGTCTGGAAAATGGATTGTATGTGTTATGCATTAATCTCACGTATATCATAACATATTATTGTTTAGGAAAGACTTCTGACAGTGTTGTTGGTCGTTAGGTCTTTTAATTTATACGTTTCTATTTAATATTGCCCTTTTGTTTTATTAACAGGAACATAATTATGTATGTGTTTTTTCCATCGACATGTCTTGATCTAAATTATAGGCCTACAATTTGTAAATTTCCTTTTCAAAGAAAGCCTTCTCCTTCAAGTAGAAATGTTCTCGTCATCCCATCCAATGCCGAGTTAATGTCAAAATGATTTATGTGATAATTGCCCCCTCTCCCTGATCTCTTCATGCATCGAATGCAAACCAGGCTCATGTTACGCCCTCTAGAGGACAAGCATAGCTAGTCTCACCCTAGTCTGTTGTTAGCCCCGTTTATATCACTTGAAGATAAAGATGAGTACTGGTTGTGGGATTGCACTGGGAAAGAAACTATTAAGAAGTTATTGGGGACTGTTGGTTATGCACTACTGTATATTATGGTGTCTTTGAATGATCAAAATGAAAATAAATTGACTCAATTTTGATGAATAGCAGATCCACTGCACATAATGGGTCAATGGGACTGCTGAGGGTGTTTGATATGCAATCCCTTTCTACGAACATACCTTCTTTAATACTATCTAAACACAAAGAATAAAAACGTGAACAAAATACGAATAGAAAGGAGTAGTTATGTTGGATACATCGCTTCAGGAATAATGCCTTGGTATGGTTTCAAACCTAAGGCCTTCTGGATACGAGAACAGTGTTATGTACCTCTGAGCCGTTAGACCTCGTCATTCACCGTCATTTTGTTTTTTTTAAAATTATTTTTCATTGTATCTAGGGTTACTTTGTTAACCCAAAGACTACCTTTAAACGCGCTCAATATATATGCTAAATAACTGATGATTGATATGCCTCATTCACGACGCTTATTCTGGGAACAGATTTCTTTAACGTCTTATTTGACGAGAGAAGACGTCAACCATAATTTATATTCATAGAAGGAGAAAGAAATCAAATCATTCAGTCTGATAAGAATTCGAAATTATACTCAACATCTCCTTCACATTAATGCAAAGTATTACCACAGTCGTGACGCAGTACTCAAACCGATATTTTTGTCTTGTTATTCATGAGCATTTCATAAGGTCCCGATCGTATTGCAATTAAACAAAAAACTTCTATACACCCTTTATTCAAAGTTTATAAAAAGAAAGCAATCCTTGCGAAGTTTTCCAAACGATGTTCGTCTCTTTGATGATTTTGAAGATCTCGAAAAGGTCCTGATCGTCTTCCAGTTTCTTGTTGGATTTGTATGATCATCCATTATTAAAGTATACACTTTTCCTCGATGTGCTTGTGCTGAAGCATGTAATACTTGTTTAAGGTATTATCCACATATCTTTTGAATATCACTTCAGGATGCAAGTAAAATTGCAAGGCAGATTCAGTTACGCCCTCAACAGGCTATTATGACTGTGTTGTTGGGGAGCGTTTTCAGACGCCTTTTGAAATCAAAGATGCCTTTAATTTTACATTTTTGAATGGTCCTTAGTTTAGAGGTTGAGTTAGTGATGAAATGTATATTTTAATATATTATTTTTTTGTTTCTTTTCATGTCAGATCTGCAGAGGATTGCCAATAATTGTCTCCTTGAGGGACGATTTTCCCCGATGAGGGCGACTACGGTATAGAACTTGTGAGTATGAAATACTTAAAATACATTTCTCAATTCATTATACCGTGCTTTGGGACTCAGTAGTGTATCGTTTTATTTTTCTGATCATTTCAAAATTCTTCATCTAGTAAAAAGCTCGCTACGCTATATCGCGACCGTAGTCACTAACATCACAATGGTCATCATCCTTATCAGATGACGTACAAGCTGTGAAAAGAAGACGTAAGAACGTTGTAAAAAAATCGATGGAGAACAAAAAAAGCAAAGAGAAAGGGAGAATAAATAAACTGCATACAGTATAGAGAGATTAATAGAAGACAGAAGACGAATATGTCAGCATCTTCATTAGATAACCGCATTGTCATAGTTTATCCCACCTTGTTCGCCTATGAACATCTTTATCTGGATGTCATCTTCGTCATCATATTCACCAAAATCATACTCACCATCTTCATCGTCATATATCATCTCTATTTCATCATCACTACCATCGTCATCAGTTCACTATCACCATCATCATCATTCCCTTCGTCGCTGTCATGAACAACATCATCATTATAACCATCATCATCATCGTCGCCACCGTGGCCATCTTCCTTAGTCTTAAAATCAGATTATTCCTCCAGCATCATCGCCACCGTGGCCATCTTCCTTAGTCTTAAAATCAGATTATTCCTCCAGCATCATCGCCACCGTGGCCATCTTCCTCGGTCTTAAAATCAGATTATTCCTCCAGCATCATCGTAACCATGGTGGCCGTCGTCCACCTCCTCCGTCACTCTCATCCCTTGATCACTCTCATCCACGCTGTCCCACTGCATGCCGTCTGTGTTTGAATCATGATGGATCGTACCATTAGCTAATTCAGGCGTTACTTGTCGCAACCTGAAGTAAATGGGTCATAAGATGTAGTCCCAAGGAACTGCTTTGTCTCATCTATTCTTGTCAGAGGAGTTTGATTTACTCCTCGATATTATTCGAGCTTATTGGGAGTTAAAACTTTTGTTGAATTATGGTCGCACTTACAAATTCCTGCTGCGTTTTGTCTGTGGTTTTGTTCGATGAAAATGAGTTATATAAGGGATACTCATGTATGATAAGTGTACGATGTTCTCAGAATTTGTTATGTTTATTAAATCGTTGCGTTTTTTGTTAAAGTTTCAAACTTAATAATTAAAGTTAATGCCTGCCCGGTATGTTGGGGTTGACTTTAACCAGTCGGCAAATGCCGTCCCATCCCCCCCCCCTCTCCACAACGGGGACACCCCCTCGATTTAGAAGGTCTCGCTCCGCCCCATACTAGTATCTGCCCAAAGGAATCAGCAAACTATTCATCAGAGTAGCATTACAACATGAACTGGTTCAGTTTATCAGCGCACCTTTCCTTTGACCATCCATTAACTCAGATGTCTGGCCAAATGACAGAAAAACCTCTGCAGTTGCAGACACCTAATATCCATCTCCTTAGGATAATCTCCACCAAGTTTCCTGTAATGAAACAGTCGATGCATCTTGAGATAGAATCTACATTATAAGTATAAGCTATAAGTTACACATCTAAAATCAGATAACTAGAGTATTACAGTCATTCTTACTTCTCTGTATTGTTATGCGCACGGTAATGCTTTATGCCTGGAAGTGTAAAATGAAAAAGCAAGAAAGAAGGAAGAAAGCAAGAAAGCAGAAAAGAAAGAAGAAACGAATAAATCGCCAAGTGAAATATTCTAAACATATTTTGATTTGATGTTAATGCTAAAATCAAATTTATGAGGGACGTTTAGTGGGCAGGTGATCGACATCCCCATCAGACCTTTCAACATAATTTGCATTCGTGCTGGCAAATCTTAAACTGGCAGGGGGGGGGGGGGGTTGTGGATAAAATAAGCACTGCCTGGTGAAAAAACAAACCACTCTTAAATTGTAAAAGTCTACGCTTCCCTCTCGCATTTCGACAATTGTTGTAATGGGTCGACGTTAGTAATGAACTGTCACCTTTTTAAAAAGCATACGATAGCTAGGAAACTGTCGAATCGACGGTACAGTGCACTTTGTGAAGGCCCAACGTTTCTACATGTAGTATCTCTATATACAGGTGCAAAAAAGCATAAAGGTGCCAGGATCGAAGCTCAAAGAGGTGTCCAAATCTTCCATTTTATCCGGGCAATGTATAATGTTTCTGGCTAAGACATATCCTGACACTTTCATGGTTCCCAATCACAGTCCCTTCACGCTTTAGTAGGACATTTACCCTTAGGCACTCACATAGGGTGAAGATTGTGAGTACATGTCTGTACACGCGCATCATTGCGATATAAACGAATGACCGGTAACTAGGCCGAGCGAGTAATTACTCGGGAAATGTAACTGCATGCTGTGATGCACACGATTGATTGGTGATTATTATCTCTTTTATTTACGAGGCAATGCTTCTAGCAACTCTTAAATCGTATAATAATTGCTACCTCTCTTGTTTCCTAGGGTGGATTTTTGTAGGTGCTGTCTGCTTGTTTCTCGATCTGCCCCCATTTCCGCCTCTCCCAGCTCTCTCTCCCGAAACATTCCTCCATTTTCCTTTCAGATTCCTCTCTATTTTTTTCTTTCTCGGTCTTTATCCCTCTCTCTCCCTCTTGAAACCTCTATTTTTCTTCTCTCTATCTTCCTACCCCCTCTCTCTTTCATCCTATCCCTCTCTCTTACTTTATATAGCCCCTTCTCTCTCATTCTTTATCTAGCCCTCTCTCTCTCTCTCTCTCTTTCTCTTTCACTCTCTCTCACTTTGTCGTTTTTCTCCTTCGTTACTCCCCTTTCTACTTTTTATTTTCGGTCAAAGGCTTCATCCCCCTTTTTTAAATAGATATTTGATTACTCGATATTAAATAATCAATGGTTTCTCTCGCGAATCGTCACTGCGATGCTTAACACCGTGTCATGCTATTGAATATTTAAATAGTTGATATTAATCGTTACCATACGATTCATTAATCAGAAATTTAGAATTTTGAAAAAGAAACTCTTAAAATATATGACGCAGCAAATCGTTAGCTCTGTAAAAGAGGAGCCGTTTCATTTGCGTTAATTATACCTGCGCCAATCAAGCCTTTGAAAGCAATTCGTGCATGCGTCAGCAACTCAACGCAACGCGTGCACTTTTCAATTTGCCCTCACTTTTCAAAATACGATCACTGTCACATTGCGCGTCAGACACTACACCTAGCACGTACGCCGTCCTGTGTCAGGAAAGCAAAATGACACCTTTGTGTGTAACGCGCATTACAAAATCTCATTACGCCATTATCGACCTACATCGACACAATAAAAATAGACGACACCGCAAGCTATCATCATATCGATTCTTTAACCGAAATGAATCCACTGTTTATTTAAGCATGGAATCTTCAGAATACTTTCCAATCCATCTGCTTTTGGGTTTTTTTTGGACAGATTCTTGGAAACAAAATCCGCGTTTGATTTTCCACAAAGGCATTGTTCTCGATCTGTAATCCTGTAGTCCTGTGATCAATACAGCGTGCTGCTGTTACCGATAGCCATGTGAATGTTTGAACTCGCTTCGGAATACATTTAGCCAACATTTCTACTTACATTTCAAAGACAAAAATATCGCTCTAGTTTTATTTCTCAATTACGAACCAAAATATGAGGAATATGCTGTTTATATTCAGAATGAAACGATAGTCATTGCATTTACATTGGTCGGCTTTCATTTCTGAGGTTAAATCCCAGAAAAAAAAATCAACTTCAATACATATGGGTAACATACAGGCCCACACGCTCTCGCCCTGAACGCCCTCGACCTAGCCGTTGGAATAAGGTCAATGCCACAGTCGGGTTTGTAAAAGTGGATGCAGCAGAGCGTGGTATAGTCTCAAGGTCTAACGTGCGTTAATAATCAGTGGGACATTACCTTATCAGTCAGGTAGAACATTGCAACGCAAGGCATAAAATACATGGGGAAGTCACATAATTTTTAAAATTCTTCTTTCGTGTCCATTATCTGTGCTTAAAATGTTCTGCCAGGCTTTTGCACACTGAAGAGCCTTCTCATTTGCTGCCACATGTCTTCCAGGCAGCATTGGCCAACTTGGAGTGGGCATCTTCATAAGTGTGACATAGATTGCACGAATGTTCCACACTCGCAGACGGTGTCCGCGTCATCAGTGTGTCCCCATTTATGCATATGTATAATGCTGTTTCAAAAGTTTGCATTTTTTTTCTAGTAATAATATTATTCAAGGAGTTTTAAGATAATTAAGCCATGGCAGAATATTTTCCAAAACATGTATATCAGCAGCTGGCTGACTTTCCCGATGCCTTTTATGTCTTCCATCCCGAAGTTCTGCCTTACATTGAACGATGAGGGCTCTTCATTCACTGTGTGTTATTGTGGCTATTCTCGACGTCATTAATAAGGCACTATATACTTTACTTACCCTTTATAGTGCATACCATTACATTTTTCATTGTAATGTGTATGTAGTAGAAATGAAACAGTCCTAAAATTTGAGTTCCTATTATTTTTTCTTCTTCTTCATACTTCCCTCTTTAAGAAAAAAAAAATCATGATAATAGTTGCCGGCGTGAAGCTGTTGCAAACTTGCAATAAACTCTCATGAGAAATGCTAGTATAAAATACAATTCCCACCCTCTTTAAATTTGTAATTAACAGGTAATCTGTTTGATATTGTAACACACGGGCTCTAAAGATGCGATAATCCGTGCATACACTAGATTCTGTTACCCTTTAGATTTCCCTGTTGTATCTGTATTAATTACACGAACTTAAGGTTTTTAAGATTGTATCGAGTTTCTCTTACAAGCCTAAGAGCGTCATACTATAGTTATGTCTACACGAGACTGTCGTACATGTAGTTTTAAAATTTAAGTTATACCCACAACCCACTTACATCGACGAGGTTTCACAGGTGATCGAAACAACGATCATCAAAGATTATACAAGCCGTGTAAGCAATCATTTGAACTACAAGCTGGCGTTAGCTCGAAGTTGGTAGTTTCCTAAAATTATAACCACGAGTGTGTCGACACGATCCCTATCTACAAGATGACTTCGAAGTTTAAAGGTATAGACCAGTTTTGGAAACGCCCCCTCTCAAAAATAAAATGGAAGCTCTTATTACCAATCCTGTGAAAGAATATGGTTTGACTAATACGTGATGATACAAATTTTGACTAATTGATACATTTGGTAAATTATCATATCGATCCGGTCTGGAT